CACGCTGCTGCTTATAGATGCCAGTAGCACCTCTCTTCCCCCAGTTATGACAACTGAAAATGATTTAAGACATTGTAAAATATCCCCTGAGGAAGAAAGCATCTGTATTAGTCCATTTTCACACTGCCATAAAGAAATACCTGAGACTGGGTAATTTTTAAACAAGAGAGGTTTAATTGATTTACAGTTCCGCATGGCTGGGGAGGCCTCGGGAAATGTACAATCATGGCGGAAGGCAAAGGGGAAGCAAGGCACTTTCTTCACAAGGTGGCAGGAGAGAGATAGCAAAGGGGGCAGCATCAGACACTTATCAAACAACCAGATCTCATAAGAACTCACTCACTATCATGAAAACATCATAGGGGAAACCACCCCCATGATCCAATCACCTCCCACCTTTGACATGTGGGGATTACAATTCAGATTACAATTCTGAATTGGGTAAGGATACAGTCAAACCATATCAGGACCTCTAGCTTATTTGGTCTCATCTTCCTCTGAGTCCTTTGGTGAGGAGGGAAGTGCTAATTGGTGTAGAGAGCAAATATCCAAAACTCCAGCTAGACTCTGTGTTTTAAGGATGCTCTGCTTGGGATTTCAAAATATTTTTATGGTTTCCATGTATTACATCCCTGCATGCCTGCTATGTGTCCAACAGTAACTAAGTGTTTTAATCAATTGTTCCCCACAAGAATCCTGCAGGACAGCTATTATTGTTCCCATATGTATTCCTTGCAGTTCTCCAGAGAAACAAAACCAATAAGGTGTGTGTGCGTGTGTGTGTGTGTGTGTGTGTGTGTGTGTGTGTTTTAAAAGAGATTTATTACAAAGAATCAGCTTATGTGATTATGGAAGCTGACAAGTCCCAAGATCAGCAGTTTGCAAGCTGGAGACCCAGAAAAGCTGATAATATAGTTCTAGTGCAAAAATTGACAGGCTTGAGACCTGGGAAGAGCCAATGTTTTAGTTCAAGTCTGACAGTAAAAAGAAACGAATGTTCCAGCTCAAAGGCAGTCAAGCATGGGAATTTTCTATTATTGGGAGGAAGGCCAGCCTTTTTTTCCTCTTTAGGTCTTCAGTGGATTAGATGGGAACCACCCACATTAGGGTGGGTAATCTGCTTTACTTAGTCTCCCAACTCACATGTTAATCTCATCTAGAAATACTGCCACACATAGAATAATGTCTGTCCAAATACCTGGGCACCCCATAGCCCAGTCAACTTGACACATAAAATTAACCATCACTTGACAGGGCGCAGTGTATCAAGCCTGTAATCCTAGCACTTTAGGAGGCTAAGGCAGGTGGATCACCTGAAGTCAGGAGTTTGAGATGAGTCTGGCCAATATGGCAAAACCCTGTCTCTGCAAAAAGTACAAAAACAAGTCAGGTGTGGTGATGGGCACCTATAAACCCAGCTACTTGGGAGGCTGAGGTAGGAGAATAGCTTGAACCTGGGGGGCAGAGGTTTCAGTGAGTGGAGATTATGCCACTGCACTCTAGCCTGAGCTACAGAAGTGAAACTGTCTGAAAAAAAAATTAACCATCATTCTATGGTTAAACTGGGTGTCAATGCATCTTATGGAAAGAGTCACACAGCTATAAAGCAGAAGAAGAAAATGTCAAGACCAGGTTTGTGCTCTTAACTTCCATATATGTGAGTTCCTCAAACCAGTAGATCTGTGCTGGATGTGTGCTGTACTTTTTCAAGTGCATGGGGTAAAAATAGAGCTTGAGAACCACTTCTCTGTGCACTGCCCCTCATTGGTTGGCTATCTCAGAATCACTGATTATCAGGGTTAGAAGAGATCATCAGGATAATCTAACCCAGTGAGACATTAATCTGATGATCACACAAGTAAATGAATAGTGTGCCTGTAGTGAGTTACTCTGATGGAAGGGTGCATATGATTGGGAAATAGATTTGACCTGAGTCAAGAGAGGCTTGCCAAATGATTGAATGGGTAGGGATTACATGGGTAGACAAAGTAGGATGGCATTTGAAGAAGAGAGAACCCTAGCGTAACAAGGAAGGGCAACATGACCCAGCTGGCTCTGCAGAGTGGGTTCTTTGGGTTGCTGCAAACACATCTCAGACAGGCATACCGGATGTGGGGTCTTGGAAGTCCTATAGAGTTGGGGCTGAGAGTGAGGAAGAGTGACTGTAATAAAATCACAGAAACCCATCCTGTCCCACCTCTCATTTAATAGGAGAGGAAACAGACCCAGAGAAGTTACTTATCCCAGAACACACAACTAGGGAATTGCAAAGGTAGTGTGAAAACTTGGATCTCCTGCCTCTGTCTCAATATGTTCCCAAGTATCATGCCACCTCTCCACATTGCCTGGAATTGCCTGACCCTCCCTTTACCCCAGAAGGAGTCCGCAGCTCTTGGAGCTTCAGAGTTCTTGTCCACGTCTCACACAATCTCCTGAAGAGTGGTGAAAATACTCTACTAAGTCACTGAACTCTGAGCACAGGACCACACCCCGGAACTGCCACATAAGAAAGGGGAAATCCATGCATGGCCTTGAAGTACTGAATCAGTAGCTGAAAATACTAAAACAATTCGTGACCCATAGAAGCACAAGTTACAAAATGGTAGTCTGCAGGTCGGATCTACCTGCAGATGTGTTTTATTTGGCCACACAATGTATTGAAATGTGTTTAAAATGTATTGATACCATTAAAAACTTAGATTTTGTATTTTTTAAAGTTCCAGTCTTCATTCCTACCTGACAACATTTCCCTGGAGCTGCTGCCTTCCCCTCCTGACATTCCTCAGGTGCCCACCTGCTTCCTCTGTTCCCAACCCCAACTCCTGAGGTAGCAGGTGGCGTCTGCAGCCCAGGGCTTTACAGACATGCAGCACAGCATGCCTTCCCTGCCCTGGCCCAGGACAGCTTTTCAACAAGCTGCATACAGTGACCTTGAGATGGCTCCTCTAGTCTGCAAGCCAGCTAACATCAGTTCTGTCAGCTGCTTCTCCCTTGATAGGGCTGTAGTCTCTTCCTGTCCAGTCACCCTCCTTCTAGACTGTCTCCCTCTGAAAGGGATGCATTCAGATTTAAGCAATGGGCTCCCCGGGTGGCTGATCTAGGTGGAAGGGTTAAAGAAAGTCTTTATATTTTTACAACATTCAATTTCAACTTGGCAATCAGAGCAGCACAGACAACGTCAACCCAAATCGCAAGAGCCCTCATAACATACAAAGTTGATTCTCTCTTATGATTCTAGCGAAGTAGAATAAACTCCCAGGGGAAAACATCAAATCATTTCCTGAGACTATATACAAGCAGATCTCTAACAATGTGGGAGGAATGACAAGCATCTTGAAAAAATTTTTTCTGTTTATAAATATAAGCAGAGAAAGGACTCTAAGGAAAATACTTGTAAAAGTCCTTGTTAAATAACAGCAATCTAACTGGCTCTATGAAGTTACTGCTGGTTCTCTCTGCTACAGGAATGAACTCAGATGAACTGTTTCAATTGTTTTGCCCTTTGAGGTTAAAATTGCACTGGTAGAATGTAAGAAAACTAATGGAATCATAGAAAGAAACACTGGCCTGGGGATCTGGTACCCTAGAGGCTTTCCTTCAATCTGCCTCTGACTATTGGGAGCTCATAAATGGGTCACCTGACATTCTGAGCCTCAGTTTTCTCATTGTGCAATAAGATTGTTGAATCAGATTAGAGAGTCCACAAATGAGAGCAGTGCATCCAAAACATAAGCCATTTTTGCATAGCCTTTTCTAGAGCTCCCCTGACCCATTAATCATTTAATTAATGCTCCTTATTAAAATGAATTAAATTCTAGCATACTTTTTAGTTCAGTCCAAGTGGAAACATTTACAAGCTCACGGGTATGATGTGTTAACTGTTATTTTAGTACATGTTAAAATAAATACTCAGGAGTTAAAATTAAAAATAACATTTTTCCATATACCGCCAAAAATTGTCTTGTTTCTATGGATCACCTTAGGAACACCAAACTTTGGTTTCATGGATAGACTTCAGGAGGGCCTTAAATATTCTGAAATTCTAATTGTAGTTGTGTGTGTGTGTGTGTGTGTGTGTGTGTGTGTGTGTATTTTTGAGAGAATGTATATATTTTCTATAATTCTCAAAGGTTCATCTCTTCCATTAGAAAGCTGAGAACTGCCAGGAGCAGTGGCTAACACCTATAATCCCAGTACTTTGAGAGATAGAGGTGGGTGGATCTCCTGAGGTCAGGAGTTCAAGACCAGTCTGGCCAATATGGTGAAAACCCATTTCTACTAAAAATATAAAAATTAACCAGGCACGGTGCATGCACCTGTAATCCCAGGTACTTGGGAGGCTGAGGCAGAAGAATCACTTGAACCTGGGAGGCAGAGGTTGCAGTGAGCTGAGATCGTGCCACTGCACTCCAGCCTGGGTGACAGAGCAAGACTCTGAGAGTAAGAAAGAGAGGGAAGAAAGGAAAGGAGAGAGGGAGGAGGGAGAAAGCTGAGAACCAAGAAGAAAGAAAGAAAGAAGAAAGAAAGAAAGAAAGAAAGAAAGAAAGAAAGAAAGAAAGAAAGAAAGAAAGAAAGAAAGGAGAAAGAAAGAAAGAAAGAAAAAGAAAGAAAGAAAGAAAGAAAGAAAGAAAGAAAGAAAGAAAAAGAAAGAAAGAAAGAAAGCGAAGAAAAGAAAAAAAAGGAAGGAAGGAAGGAAGGAAGGAAGGAAGGAAGGAAGGAAGGAAGGAAGGAAGGAAAAAGCTGAGAACCATTACCTCCAGTGGAATTGCTAAGAATCTGTCTGACCCTTCTTAAGAAGGGTCTGAGCAAAAGGACTGCAAGTTCTTAGTAACCTGCTTGGGGCTCTTTTCAGCAAATTTTCTCCCATCCCTCTTTTTCAAAAATCTCCTAAATGGTTAAGGAAACACTGCTAAGTTCCTTGGTGGGGTGGGAATGGAGAAGGCTTCTCTCAAACCGAGCCTGGGTGTGGCCTAATCCTGGCTTCTCTGTGTCCCACGCAGGTTAGTCTCGGAGGTGCTGAGTTGGCAGTATCCTGGAGGAAAGAGCAGTTTTGCTTCAAGGGATCTCATAAACACTTAGCAAAACCCTTCAACACCCGAATAATACAGAGTACAGCTTCATCTGATCCCTTCCTATCTCTTGGGAGGACTTGGAAGTTCAGTTCCACAGGACTGCTGCAGGGAGAGGGGCAAGAACTGGGGAACATAGTGTGTCCCTCCTGCACTGCTTTACCTGGTGGGACTCCCTGCTACTTCACCTGCTTATTTTGCAGCTTGCTGAATTTCCACATGTCTGACCTGAATTGTTAATGGTTTCAATGGTCTGGATATAGGAAAAGACCCATAACTTTCTCAGGCCCTGGAAGTGACGGGAGCTGCTGCTGTAAACTGACATAAATATGAACACACCAGACCTATCTCAGAGTAGCCTTGATCTTGCCCTGCAGTAGCCAGATAGGGAACTTCCCAGCAGGAGGATCAGAGTTATTCATCTCAGAGCCCGGTCCAAAGAGGTGCTCAAAGAGCAGTTAGTGAATATGCAATTAATGTAGAATGAATGAATGCATGACAACCACTGCTGAGGTCAGTCATATGTGCCATACGCAGACATGAAAAAGATAATCAAAGAAAGCTTTGTGGTAGAGGTGTCATTTGAATGACCTTGGGGTCAGATAAAAATTTCAGCAACACAGGAGACTCTACTGTTATAGAGTTAAACACACAGGGGCTCTGGAGTCTAGCATCTGATTGAGTTTGAATTCTAACACCCCTCATGTACAAGATGTGCCTCTGTGCAAAATTCTTAGCTTCTCTACACCTCAGGTTTCTCATCTGTAAAGTAGGGATAATGACGGTACCTACCTCGAGGACTGTATGTGAGCATTAAGTGAGAGAAAGCACATAAAGCACTTAGCAGAGAGCCTCAGTGATTGAGCCTTGTGATCACATCATCATCATCATCATCATAGCAATCATTATCATTGAGGAAAGTGGAGAAGATATTCCACAGGAAGGGACTTGAGGGAGTGAAGCAGCCGGGAGGCAGCCAGTTTGCTTATGATTTCCATAGGTTCAACTCACCCAAGCTATTCTCAGCTAAAGTTTGCAATCCTGCTAACAGACTTCAGTGGCTTCTGGGGAGCGTTGTAGCAGGAATGATCAACCGCTTGCCCTCATCAGCAGCCTCTGTCCTGATTGGCTGTATTAATCCATGCTGCCCAGTGGTCTGGCTGTGATTTCCTCCTCCAACAATGAGGACTCTTACTCTGGAACACAGCCTACAGAGTGCAGCAATGGGAAACCCCTGCATCTGTGGACCCTGGACACAGATCCTCTCCATGGCTGTATTTCCCTTGAAGAGAGCTCAATAAGGACACCCAGAAGCTGCAGTGCCAATCAACATCAAAGAAGTGGTCAGGGTGCAGGAAGAGCCACAGAATTGCCAGAAGCTATTGCTGAACTTTTGTTCCTAGATGGGGCCAGTTAGGCCTGCATGTCACTGCAGCAGGCATCCCTCAGTGCTGTGAGTCCTGGTGGACCTTGTTGATTCCTCATACATTTCTTATCACCCCATGTGAATGAGACTCAACTGCTTCACATTTTTTTCACTACACTTATCACTGCCTGATATTATATTACAGTAGTGAGTTTTGCACCTCTTATATTAAGACAGTGTCTGCCACATAGTAAGCACTTAGTATTTGCTGAAAGTTGTAAAAATGCATCAGTGAGTATCCCACAGTGCCTGGCAAATAATAGTTATTCCATAAATAGCTGTCAAATAGTGAGCATTGGCCTCTGTCCGGGGAACAAGGATGAGGGTGATACAGATGGGGAGCATTTTGTTCAGGGAAGCTTTTCTGGATGCGGCATTTGAGCTAGACCTAAAAAAATGGAGTAAAATTCCACAAGGAAGGCTTAGCAGTGGGGCATTCCAGACAAAAAGGACAAGTGTTTAGACATGGAAAGCACTGGGAACGTTGGGAATAGCTCAATTTGGCTGGTGGACTGAAAACACAAAGAGGAATTACAAGAAGCTATGCCTGGAGAAGCTTCCCCAGTTCTAAAGGGTCTCAAAGGCCATCCCAAAGAGCAGGGGCCTGGCTCCCTCAGGTGGTGGAAAGTCAATGGTGGTCTTTAAGGAGGTAAGTAAGTGGGCTGACCAATGCATTAAGAAGATTAATACAGCAATGTCTTAAAGAGTGGTTTTGAGGTGGAAGGGAGACAGAAAACAAAGATCTGAAGCCAAAAACATGGAGAAACTGTAAACAAGGCTCAGTGCAACACCAGATGTTGGTTGAACACAGTCAGCAGGGAAGAGGAGAGTCAGAGATAAAGTTGAAGTGCCTGCATGGCTGGCTGAAAGAAGGATGGTGCTGCTGCAGCCTGAGCAGAGGTCAAAAGAAGGAGCAGAGGGGCCTGGGGGTACGAAAAGGAGAACGGTGCAAAGACTCATCCTATCATCACCCAGATTCCCCATTTGGTGAATGCCTGTAGGCATAAAAGTGCCAAAGTCTCACTGACTGTTGGAAACGAAGACTGAAACTCCACATGTAGATGAGGAATGGATGAATTTCGAGAGTCACCTCCATGGAAGGAGACTACCTAGGCCTTAGGGTCAGCACAGTTTCTGGAATTGGGTAAATCTAATCCCAGCTCTTCGTCTTCTTGTGTGTATGACTTTGGGCAACTCTTTTAACTCATCCAAGCCCCTGCTTTCTCACCTATAAAATGGGAATGATAATAAATCTACCTCATAGAGTTTTATTTAGAATTAACATATGCATGGTATTTACTAGAGGTAAAATACTCAATATGCATCAACAATTATTAATATTATCTTATTTTTATTTAAGGCAGAGGTTGCAAATACGAATGCCTTTATAGGCTAACTGGGAAGAAAAATGAATTAAGCCAATTCTCCACCTAAAAGGAAAGTGCCTATTCATCTTCAGCAAATTACTCTACTTGGGAGTTTTGATGAGGTTGTCACACTGTGCAATTCATTAAGAGAAGTAGGAAATCTGGACTTTGGAGGGTTAAATTTTTCCATTTTAAACTGTTGAGTCTACATTTAAATTACAAGATAATATTGTGGAATTCAAGGTGTACGGATTGAACAACATGTATGTGGAGCTGGTATATCCCGTGGGCTGCAATCTGTGAAATCTGATTTAAAACAGGCTTCCAGCTTGATGCAGAGATCCTTGGTGCCCTTTTGGAAAATGGAGCTGCCCCTTCATTCTCCTGAGATACTAAGCTCCAACCTCTCCCACGTGTCAAACAACAGGCATGCAGTGAATAACTCGATTGTCTCCAAGCCTGAAGTTCTGCGATCTCTAGTGTTCAAGGATGTGGAGTCTGGCATGAAGAGATCATTTGGGGAGGGCTGAAGGGCCGAGGGAGATGGCCAGAGAGGCCAGACCTGGTGGCAGCCTGATATGCGGCAGCGAGGAGAGGCCTGGAGTTATGTTCCTGCTGTGGATAAAGACAAGAGAAGTGTTGAAGCTAGCTAGAGACAAGAAGCAGGTTATCTGACCTGACTAGTTAAACCACTTTACTAACAATTACAGCTGAATCAAACCAAATATGAATAGGAACGTGTGTGTGTGTGTGTGTGTGTGTGTGTGTGTGTGTGTATGCCACCCACCTGAGCCGGGTGACAGAGGGAGAGAATGGGCCTGAGTGTGTATCTGCTTCATCTGCTTGTTTTTCTCAAGTTCGTTCCTGTGTGGCAGAACTTTCTAATCTCTTGTACTCACAAAGAGGGAAATATCAGCTGCAGCTCTGTTTCCAGAAACCTTCATAGCACCACCTCCCTGCACCCCTCTGAGCCACCTGATCCCTTACCCCCAGGTTTTCAGGGTCTGCATGTGTAGCCATACCTCAGCGTTCTAGAACCCAGAGTGGAGACGTAGAGAATCCTACAAGCAAGCCTGAGTGTTAGAGCCACCAGCAGGCTCAGACTCTCTTGCCAAAAGATGGCTGCTATTCCAGGGCCTGCACTGCAAAGATGGGCAGGTCAATGCATGCCCAGCAGGGACAAAAGAAACACTGCTATTGTACCAGCTGATTGAGGTGGGGATGCTGGGAAGGCAAGATTATTTTTCAGTAAAGTGCCTCATTAGCCCAAAGTGAACATTTGGTTTCCTCTACTTCACTGGAATATTTGACTTTGAATCCATGTTTACTTTCTACCTCTGAATCGATGTATCCTATGACTCTGTGACAAATGACATTTACAAAAAGAGGTTTTCAATATATTTTTAGCAACAGAGCTCTTTCTTTAAAATGATATATTACTCTAGACCCAATATATAAAATATGTTTTGTAATTGAGTGATTAACATGTTCTTTGGTTGATCTGAATCTTTATTTTTGACGGTAAAGCCTTTGTTACTTTCAAAATCTCAGAAATGCCTAACAGGAAACTTCAGATTCTTTGGAGCATGCTGTAAAAATCACTGATAGAGTCCTCACTTTCTGAGGTGTTGGGGTTCTGAGTGAGGAGAATTCACAACTCTCATCTTTAACAATGTGAAATGAAGATGATAGAAGGGAATCACAGCATTTCATGGCATTTTAGTGATAACATTTGAATGGGAGGTAAGTCACTTTGTATATTGGAAAGAGAAAGAATTGTGCAGAAAAAAAAAAAAGGTCAGGACCCGGTGTTCTGGTTTTGGCTCTAGGGAGTGTTGACTCTAACCATTTGAGAATTGGCACTCACTGTGTGCCACTGGAGAAGGCCCTTCTTGTCTGTGGATGCAGATCCTCCATTTGTAGGCATCACCTCACCTGAACATCTAGGCTGCTGCTCAATGTGTTGACCCAAAATGCTGCACTATCACAAAACTCTACGGGTACTCAGTGTGCCACAAAATAGACCCATGCCCTCTACACTGCCAAATGTATGTACTGATACTAAGCTGTACAGGGTAATTCCATACAAAGCAATGGAAATGAATTGTTAGAAGGTTTCCCGTGGTTACATGAGGTACAGCAGAGGAGCAAATGTGGCCACAGTTAGAAGCGCCAACCTGGAGCTAGCCCTAGATTTTAGTCCTGACTGTATCAATTACTGGTTATGTGACCCAGGCAAGCCACTTACCTTCTTGCCTTCTCCATAATAAGATGAAAACAGCATGGCAGTGACCTTCCAGGCTGCTAAGTGAGTTGATTTACACAGCACCATGGAAAAGCCCTCAGGTTTTGATTGTTCCCAGACCTGGATTCAAATTCCTTTTCTTCCACAAATAAGCGAAGTACTTTGTAAACCTCAATTTTCTCATTTGTCAAATAAGGGTAACTATTAAATCAAATAATATTTGTAAGACACTTTAGTTAGAACTGTACTTGTGATATAGTGAGCACCTCCCAAAAAAATGATGTGGCCAAGGGTAAAGATACTTGGAAGCAAACAGTGACAGTTATAGACGAAGAGCCCAGCTCGAGAATGAGGACTCGACTTTCATTCTGCCCATGCCACATGTCCTGGGTGACATCAGGAGTGCTCTTCTCTTTCTGAACCGGAGTATCTCCATCTGTACAAGAAAAATGGTGCACTGACAATCAGATTCTGATATTCTCTGGTTTTATGGTGGACTCTTTCCTTCCAGTCACAGCTTCGTGGAGGGATGTGGGAATCAGTGTCAAGCACCACAACTCAAATGTCTTTAGGATTAGGCATCAGGCATCTTCAGAGTGATATGACCATCTTGAGTCACATTTTTCTCAAGACAGTTACAAAATTGACCTATTAAATATGAAAGAATATTCTTCACATCCTCAAAAAAAATGTCATCACTCTCATTTTTCTTGAACCACTGACAGCCTCAAATTTGGAGAGGGGGCACCCTGAAGTAAATGGGACACTTAAGTGCCATCTGAAATGGCATCTGTATTCAGCAACAGTTCATTGTTGCCAAAACAGAATGAAGGCCCAGTGCTACTAAATATCGCAGATTTTTAAGAAAAGATAGAAATCAGACTTCTGTGTGTGTGAAATCTTGGGGTCATTATAAGAGAGCAAATAATTCAAGATTTTTTAAAAAAACAATACTTTTGCAATCTGCATATTCAGTTCATGGGTAGCATTTTGCCATTTCAGATGTGACCAGTTCCTAAAACATAGCAGTAGGTGTTGGATGATGGGGTCTGATGCTCCCTGCCTCCACCCCACAAAAAGGAGGATTCACAGACGAGGCCTTAGACCTTGAATCAGACCTAGAATGCAGGATCTTCACTCCAGATCATACATGCTCATCATGTTTGGTAGGAACAGAGTGAGTATCTGACCTACAAACAGCTCTCCATTGTTTTCAAAATGTAAGATCTATAGAAATCACTTGGGAATAAAATCACCTGGGGAGTTTGGGTAAGATGTCTCAGGAGCCACCCACAGAACTTCTGCCCCATCAAGTCTGAAGTGGGCCTCAGGAATCTGCCCAGATGGTTTCACAGCCTCCCTTGGGGAAACTGATCTCAGGTCTAGCCAGGGGCCAATGGCTGTAGAAGTTCCGCCAAATGTGGAGACTCACTGCCAGCAGGTGCTCAGCTGAACCAATTGCTGCACTGAAGGGGAACAGACTGAAGAGTGCTGATTTGCCTTTTTAGGGGAGCAGGGACATAGACACACTCATGTTACTCACTTACTAGAAGTTTATTTTAAAAATGCACAGAGAAGTAAGGAAACCATCTGAGCTGCAGAAACCATCTGAACTGCAGAATCAAACCCCATGGAGTCCACAAAATTGTTCCACCATTGGAATGTTTTTCACTCTTGTCTCATCTGTCCATAAGCATTGGACTTCTGTGTTTCTGCCTCTTCTGATCATGAGCATTATTCCTATGCCTTACACTTTTCTCTTGCTCTCCAGGAGAAAAGGTCTGTTTGGTTCAACCAGCTGCTTGTCAGAGCAGTGTTCCTGTGGACAGAGCATGAACACCTCAGAGGCTGCTGGCCAGTCCATAGCTAGTAGGCTTTGGGTCAAGCTATTCTGTATTGCATCAGCTGTGGCCAGGATGCCAAAGTCAGGTGATGCTAAGCATCCCAACCTGTGGCTCAGGAACCTCTCAGAGAAAGGCTAGGGGATAGTAGGCTCCTGGCATGACCAACTGCTATGATATGGTGGTGGAGAAAGGTAACCAAAATAGGCAAAGAAAGAGAAGCTCCATGAGTATGAAGAGACAGATGTCCCAATAAGAGCACTATACCTTGGCTGGTGACAGATGCTAGTCAGGGAGAACAGACCAGCCTAGCTGGAGAGTCTGCAAGTCCTGAGTTCTTATCCCAGCTCCACCATTCTCTGGCTGTGTGGCCTTTGGTAAATTAGCCTCTCTGAACTTGAGCTTCCCAGTCTTTGAAAATGATTATGATGTCTCACAAAGGGGTTTTGAGAGTTAAATGAAATGCTGGGTATAAAGCCTTTAGTGCCAAGCCTAGAGTAAAACAAAAGATAATATTTCTTTTAAAAGAGAAAAAAAGAAACCTACAGAGAGTTTCTCTTCCCAGAATACATCCTTGAGAAGAACAGAACAACATTGCAAGAGGAAACCCAAGCTCTGTGGAAACATCAACCATTGTTGTTATTCTCCAAGTACATAAAGTAGACGTGGATTAAAGGTGGAATTTGGGGTGTTGGAGGCTGGAAAGAAAAAGAGCCTGAGATCAGTAGGACACCTGTGGATGTGTCCCCACTCTGTCATTTTTGTTACTAACTCCGTAACCAGCCAAAAACAGGGCCCTTCCTATGTCTGGCTTCACGTTCCCCATTTGTAAAATGAGGGGGTTGGGCCATCTGACTTCAGAGGGCACATCTATCTCTAAAGCTCCAGAATCTCAGAAGGATCAAGAATGGCAGAAGAAGAAGAATCAAAGATCTAGTCAACTGACCACAGATTCTAGAAGGGCTGGGTTTTTTTTTTGTTTTGTTTTGTTTCTTTTTTTTTTTTTTTTGCTTTGTTTTGTTTGGGGTAATGCACTCTGAAAGGTAACTTTAGGCTGGAATAACAGATTTTCTGGGATAAGAATGTTCAGGTGGGACCCAAGGACGGTCTTCAAGAACCTGGAGAGGATGTGCATCTGGAAGCAGGGGTAAGCTGGTTCTGTGTGATCTGAGGTTGCAAGGCAGGCCCACCCCATTTTAGGAGTGACCAATCTGACAAGCAGAGGAGTCTTCCCCACATGCTTCAAAACACATTCTCTAGCTTCATTCAGGTCTCTATCCACATATCACCTCCTCAGGTCTCTACTTCTAACCCTCACCTAACTCAATGTCTGTCTCTGACTATCCAGTATAAAATGCCACCTCTGTCACTCTCTAGGCCTTCACCTGCGTCTGCCTTTCACACTGCTCTACAAGCCATCATATGTTGTCTGACTCCCTCCAGGGAATGTCAGCGCCACCAGAGCAGAACGTTTGTTTGCTTCAACTGCTGAAGCAAACAAAACAGCTCTTAAAACAGGGCTTTAAACATAGCAGATTCTACACAGATATTTGTGGACCTCTCCCTAAAAAAAAAAGGAAAATAAGTCCTAAGGTCAGTCAGTAAGTATAGTATTCTCCTTTGTCCTGGTGAACAGAACCTGAAATTAAATACTTCATTTCTAATTGTAAACATTCAGAACTCAACCTGTGGAAGAGGAAAGAAAATGAAGGAGCAGACGATCATCCCCTTATTACTGAAAAATTTCCCCTCTATACTAAAAACTTTCCCTCCCCTGCCCAGGGAGGGCAGGGAAGATCACGTGGGGATCTGAGCTGAGAACAGGGGTTCTCTTCTGCAGCATATTGTAACCTGTGAAGGATCTCCCCTTTATTCTGGAGGCCCTGTGCTGGCCTTGGATGAGGCTTTGAAGGCCTGAATATTCAGGAACTGTCCTGAAATTTCCCCTCTTCCGCATCCAGCAGGCCTGCCACTTTCAGGAACTGTCGATTGTCCAGGGAATATAAACAAAAGAACAAAGGCAAAGTTGGCTCCTTGAAAGAGAAAAAAAATCTCAGACTGAACTGAATATATAACCCACTGGGAATTTAAACACCAGAGTGGTATGTAGGAGGAACCTGATTACAAACTCTGGGGAGAGGTCCCAAGAAACCAAAGAAATTCCATCCTGGTTCTCAGCTCCTGTTCATAAGAATTTCATAGAAGGGGAATGAGTCTCCAGAGCTTGAGCTTCTAGCATAGCAACCCTGCTGCCAGTTGCCTCTGTTTGCTCTGAGATATCAGAAGGGAGACTCCAAGCAAGCTGGCTTTGATTTATCTAAATATAGTCTCTTTTCCGAGAGTACAGTGCATCAAGCAAGGAGTCCTGGGGCCAGGATGGCATCTGGCATTTTTACTTTATGAGCTGCATGGCTTTTGGCACGTTCCTTTCCCTCTGCAGGCCTCAATTTCTCCCTCCATTGCGAAAGGAATCCAGACAGCATTTGAGCTCCTTTTTCTCTGTTCCTTCAAACTCCGTTGTCTGAGGCCTCCAAGGCTTCAGTGTATTTTCCTGACCTGTCCTGTTCATCCTCTATACTTCCTTTTCTGTTTGCAGAGAAACTCTCCCTGGCTTAATGTGGAATTGAACCCCAGAATGTGGAGCAGCTCTGAGTCTCAGTCATAGACACCTAGGAGGACTCTCACTGCTGGTCAGACAAGTGCCTGGACTTTGGGTCACCATCCCTCTCTCTTTTGACACCACTGCCTGTTTTGCTAAGTTCCCCTCCATGGCATGTGACAATGTGATGTCCCAAGGGAGAAAAGCTGCCCAAGAAGGGCAGCTTGGCTTTGGGTGAGAAGGTGGTGTTCTCCCAGCATATGACTGAGGCTATAAGGGGATGCTTGCCTGCTGAGCACCATCACTTTCCTTGCTTAGAAATGGAAATAAGAAGAATCCTGTTCATCTCAAGACTTTATGGGAATCAGATGAGAAGAGGTTCTGGGGAAAACTTTGATTTGCTATTTAGACACTTGAGTCCAAGATTTCCAGCCACTGCCTTGACCTCCTACCTCTCCGGCATGCTATCTCTTCACTTCACCCACCCGGGTAACCTCTTCAGCAATAACAGAGCACCTTACAGTATGGGCTCTGGAGTCGCACTGCTGGGCGTTTCCCACTGGCTCTACTCTCACCAGCTGTGTGATCTTAGGCATGTTAACTGCCCTCTCTGATCTTCAGTTTTCTCAACTGAAAGTGGGGATAAAACAGAACCTACCTCAAGGGTTGCTGTGAGATAATGTATGAAATGCACTTGGCACAGCACCTAAGATACATTCCTACTGCTATTATTTCTTTGAAGATTCTCAGCCCGTTATCACTGATAGGATCAGTGGGAGACTGAATATAACTAATGTGACCAGTAGGCATCCTGAACACTGGCAACTTAGTCGAGGTGTGGTCCACAGACCTTTGGCAGTCCTCCACATCCTTTCAAGAGGTCCACAATGCCAAAATTATTTTCAGAGTCATACTACTTGGCCTTCTTCCACTGTGCTGACATTTGCACTGATGGTGCAAAAGCAATGGTGCCCAACTGTGCAAGTGGTCATTGTATTCTTTACCCTGATGCATGCCCGGTGGGGGCAGGAGGGAGCCAGTTTCATTTAAAAATGTCTTGTATTAAGCAGTAAATATTGTTATTTTTATTAAATTTTGACCCCATTTTTACTTGAAAGAATGACTAACAGACAAACTGATTATTCAGATGTGGGCATGTAGCAGATATTTCCACAGAAATGAATGAAGTAAGCCTATCGCTTCAAGAATAATCACTACTGATATTTGTTGCCAATGACAAAATTCAAGCTTTCAAGTAAATTTTAGAAAGCTTATATCTGCCACCGCACACTTGTCAGCTTCCCAATAATTGAAGATATTGTAAATAAGATTGATAGTAATATTAATTAATATGTTTTTTTTTATTGTAGAATGAAATATATCAACATTTGGAAGACCTGCCTAACTAATATTTTTCCAATGATTAATGTACAATGTTACAAAATCATGCCAGGGTAAAAGATCCTTTTAAAGTGTAAGTTGGACGAATGAATCGACTAAAGAAAAGTTCGTTGACAAGGTTGCAAATTTTGCATTGCAACTAACCTTTCAGAAACTGCCACAGCGTTCCATGTAATATCAAAGAAAAATATCCATTACTATTTGAGATCGCCATTAAAATATTCCCCCCTTGTCCGGCTATGCCTCTGAGTGAGGCCAGATTTTATTTATATACTTCAACAAAACATCTCATTGCAACTGATTAAATGCAGAATCAGATGAGAATCAGGCTAACTTCTATTAAGCCAGAGGTTGAAGAAATAAGCAAATGTAAAATAATGCCATTTTATGAATATTATTTTTGGTTTTTGAAAAATTTTCATCAGGAAATGTTAATTATGTTCCCATGTCATGGTTTTATTTTTGTTACTTTTAAATGAATTAAAGCAATATTTTAAATTTTATATTTTAGCTTCTTATGTGGTAAATATTACTAGATGGAATCGACATAAATGAAATCTGTGTGTAGTTCTCAATCGTCTTTTTAAGAGAGTAAAGAGCTCTAAGACCAAGAAGCTTTAGAACCACTGCTGTAAATGTTTGAGAGAGAGAGAGAGCAAAAGACAGTAAAGAGAAGTTCCCGTGCTAAGCATAGGAAGTGACAGTCCTACTGTGTGCTCTGTTTTTCAGCTCATACAAGGAACACTCTGCAGTTCTCTGTCCAACACAGAGCCCACAATTTAGCAGGGATACTGACAAACTGAACATTATTCTAAAAAGGGTAACTAGAGGATAAAATTATGTCCCCGCAGGAATAATAGAAGTAAGTAGGTAAACACCCTGAGGCTGGGTGCTGTAGCCCACACCTGTAATCCCAGCACTTTGGGAGGCAGAGACAAGTGGATCACTTGAGGTCAGGAGTTAGAGACCAGCCTGACCAACATGGGAAAACCCCATCTCTACTAAAATTACAAAAATTAGCCAGGAGTGGTGGCACGCACCTGTTGTCCCAGTTACTCAGGAGGCTGAGGCAAGAGAATCGCTTAAACCCGGAAGGCAGAGGTTGCAGTGAGCCGAGACGGTATCACTGCACTCCAGCCTGGATGACAGAATGAGACTCTGTCTCAAAAAATAAATAAATAGGTATATATATATATACCCTGGAATACTGGGCAGCCATAAAAAAGAATTACATTCATGTCCTTTGCAGGACATGGATAAAGCCAGAAGCCAGCATTCTGAGCAAACTAACATTGAAACAGAAAACCAAACACTGCTTGTTCTCACTCATAAGTGGGAATTGAACAACGAGAACACATGGACACAGGAAGGGGAACATCACACACTAGGGCCTGTCAGAGTGTTGGGGTTAAAGGGGAGGGAGAGCATTAGGACAATACCTAATGCATGTGGGGCTTAAAACCTAGGTGATGGGTTGATAGGTGCAGCAAACCACCATGGCACATGTATATCTATGTAACAAACCTGCACATTCTGCACATGCATCCCAGAAGTTAAGGTAAAATTTAAAAATAAATAAATAAATAAACTTACCCTGGTAAACAAGGCAAAAATAAAAATAAAATAAAATTTATAGAATTATAATAGCTTTTTTCAAATCTCTGAAAGGCCATCAGAAAAATCGACCAAAGGGATGAATAAGAATGGCTCCACATACGTATTTTGCTAGACTAAGATTTTTCTTTTTTCTGTTTTCTCCTCTCTCATTTTCTAATGATTCTCCCTGCTCTAAAATGTTGTTTCTGGTCTCTTTTCATTCCCTTCTCTTTTTCTCTTGCTTTTTCTAGCTTGCTTTCTTTTTCTCTCTGCCCCCTTTCTCTCTTTCCCTTCCTTTCATTATATTTCTTCCTAAATTATCCAAAATATAAAATAAATATGTTTTTTCCAAAATATTTTGTTCCTCTTTTTTATTAAAAAGGTGTGAGAAGCAGGAGAATGAGGAATAAGAGGAGGGAGGAAGAGGGAAGGAGCAGGGGAGGGCCAAGGGGGAGGAGATGGGGGGAAAAGAGAAGAAAGAGGAGGGAGAGGAAGAATAAAAAATAATGATCCGTTTTTGTTCCACCTCTGTAACCTGATGTATTTAATAAGACAAAGGTGTAGTTGATGGTGGTTCCCAGGGAAGGAACAAAAGCATTCCCTCCCAGCATGGAGAGCAGAAGGGTGAGTAAGGCCGAGCCTTGGGCTTTGGGTGTTATTTATCCCAAGTTCATTAGGGAGAAAGAAAAAGTCAGAAAACAATGAGTTTTTTACAGACAATATGAGGCAAATAGAACAGAGAATTTTAGAAAATTTGTGAAAGAAGACTTGTAACAAGATTGCTCTTCTAGGAAAGGAGCTTAAGGAAGTAATCTAATATATAGACCTAAAACTATGCACAAGGATGTCTGTCACAGTATTAATTAAGATAACAAAGAACTGACATACTCTAGGTGTCCAACAGTAAATGGTTAAATTATTTCTGAGACACAAATGTAAATTAATAGAGAAATAAATAATGGCATGGGGAAATACAAGATGACGTTCAAATTTTAAAAATGATGAAGATACCAAATTAAATATATGCAGTAGTTTAGTCAATATCTTTTTATTGAGCTGCAACTTGCACTATAGCAGATATTGGACATTTAGTGGTGTGCATAATCCCTGCCCTCATACAGTTTACATTCAAATAAAAAAGGATTTTAAATAATTAATTAGACAAATAATTAGTTGAATGCCTTTTGTTCCCTATTTCAATAAAGAGACATGAATTTATGAAAAGCTATAAGGAATGGTAATATACGAATGGTGGATTTTTAGATGGTAAACTGTAGGCACTCGATATATTCCTTGTAAGTTATGTGTTTTTTAAATTTCCTAGAATAGGAATATATTACTTTTTAAATCATCTTAAATAAGAAAAAAATATCTAAGGAACACACTCTTGCAATTAAATTCTAACCTTCAGCTTCCCTTCCTTTCTCCTTTACATTATTAGACGTTAATGACACCTTCTACCTCTATGACCTACCTAGAAAACCAAAACAGGCAGTGGCCTCATTCTCTCTTCAAAAAGTGCTGGACAAACAGAGGAGTCAGGTATTCAACAAGGCAAAAGACTGACTGGCCCTTTTCTTATGGAATTCACAGTGAGAAGATGGGAACAGATGGGTAACCAGTGCAACCATTACTGGGCACTATGCTGAGCACTCCATATGCCTCATCTCATTTACTCTTCACTGAAAACTATAGAATAAATTCTGGTTTTAGACCCACTTTGCAGATGAGGAAACTGAGGCTCACTGAAGTTAAATAATACCTTGCAGGTGGAAGAGCTGGAATTCAGACTCCCATGGCTTGACTCCAAAGCCTAAGCCCTAAGTAAATCACCAGGAAGAAGACAGAGCTATGAGTTCAGCTGTTCAAGGTCCCACCAGGAAGAGGACCTAGCCCAGACCTAAGTAGGAGAGGAATCTTCCTCATAGAAGCAACTGTCCCTGAGCCCTCAAGGGTTGCAGACAACTGCCTATGGACTGATTCTGGGAAATGAAAGCTCAGTAGGACTAACATGTGGAATACTGCAAGGGATTGGGGGAAGGCAGGAAATGAGGCCAGATAATAGGCAAAGAACAAATCATATAGGTCCTTGAAAACTCAGGACATTTCAAATTTATCCTCAAAAATGTTGGGAATCACTAACGTGTTTTAAGCAGGAAAACATCAGGGTCAATTTTCTACTTACAAAATATAATTCTGGCAACTTGGAGAATAATTTGGATGAATCAAGACTGAAAGTCAAAAGGCCAATTAGGAGGCTATAGCGATCAATCAGTAGAAAGATGATGTGGCCCGAAGCAGGATAGAAGCAAAAAGGAAAGAGAAAAGATGTCTGGTCCCAGAGGTATTTTGGAAGTACAGTTGGCAGATGTAGAGGAGGTGAGAGAAAGGCAGAAAAAGGATGCCAAGATGTTTCTCTAATAGTATGCCAATTGAAGTGCCAGTCATTGAGAGACAGCACATGGTAGGATGCCGTATTTTATTTAAAAATAAAAATTTTATTTTTAAAATTTGAGCATTACCTTGTATTTCCCCATGCCATTGTTTATTTCTCTATTAATTTACATTTGTGTCTAAGAAATAATTTAACCATTTATTCACTTTAGGACAGCTGGGTTTGAATCTCCATTGTGACATTTAGGTGGCAACGCCCAGTAAGAAGGCAGTATGAGAGTCTGAAGGCTCAGGAGAGGGAGCTGGGCTAGAGGTCCATCTAGCTAGTGGGTGAGCCTTGGAATGGATGAAATTCTCCTGGAAGAGGTGTGTTGTGAGAAGACAACAAGGCTTATTTTATTATCTGAAAAACATCAACATGTAAGTTGGGGAAAAAGAATAAGTAAAACAAAACAGGAAATGAGCAGTTGCCAGGAAGGTAGAAAAAAAATGCCTACAGAGGACAAATGTGATATCATGGAAGCTGCAAAGAAACTTTTTCTGGAAGGCAGATGTGGTCAGCAAGCAGAGAAAAAAGGAAGTTGTCAGTCACCTTTGGGAAGCCAGCTTCAGTGGCAGAGGGAGGGTAGAAGCCGGAACGGAGGGTAGCTGTCCAGCAGGCGAGTACGTAGGAGGGAGTGGAGATAGCACCTGCAAGCTTCTGGAAGCATGGCTGGAAAGGCAAGGAGGAAGAAAGAGCTGTAGCTGGTGGAGAATCTGGGCTAAATACTGGTTTCTTTTCACATCACAGCTGCCTTGGTTTGTTAGATGAACTAGACCAATTTCTCTTTGCACGCACTAGAACTGATAAGTGGCACTACTATCAATCAGGAACCAATGAGCTTCTCTATCTTCTGATTTCTCTAGGAAGATACCAAAAATAAAGATTATGCAGAATCTCACAACATTTGATTTGGACTCCAAGAAGGCTGCAATTAACCTTTTGATTCTGTGTAATAATCAAATGTTATTATCACGTTGATTATAATAACACCAGCTAACGCTTGTGGATCACCCACTATGTGCCATGTGCTGTTCTAAAGGCTACGCATATAGCTAGTCTGATATTCACCACAACCCATGAGATAGATCATTATCTCTATTTTACAGATGCAGAAATTGAGAGAGAGTTGAAGTAACTGGTCCACAATCACAATCACACCGCAAGCAAGTATTGGAATCAGGATTCTTTAAGGATGCTTCTCCCCGACTTATCCCAGGGACAGAGGGAAAAAAAAGAAAATTGAAAAGGTCTGGGGCAGAAAAGGGTAATTCTGAGGTTGCCCGAACACTTCCATTCCAGAAAAGTCCTGGCATGAAAGGAGAACAAACTGGTCTGTGGGTACTCTCAGTTCCTTTTCCCTACTGGGTCAGGAGCAGACAATGATACTTCCTGAGCCAAATGCTCTAGGCCTTGCTGGCACCAACCACATAAATACATATTCTTTGAAATTCTAGTTTTCTGAGGACTGCA